TCAACACCCCAAGTGCTAGGATTCCAGGCATGTTCCATTATGCCTGACACAATTTCAGTTCTTTTATGTTAACTATTGGGGTTTTGGCTCTTTCTTCTTATGGTAATCTACTCATAGTTCATATAGACTAAAACTTTTTTTTCCATTTAAGAAGGTACTACTTCTGATATAGTTCTAATATAGGACAACAGTTTCTAACACTGGGGATGAATATATATTCTGTATTCAAGAATATTTAGACTATTAAGGTCACATAATGGGAAATACTCAAACCAAGACCATCTATGTGGCTAAGATCTCCTACTAAATGTCTACATTAGTTATAAACCAAAGAAATGAGTTAGTTGGTTTTAATTGTTCCAAAGATCAATTTCAAATTTATTTGTTTGTTTATGAAGCATATACATGCCAGCATATGTGTAGAGGTCAGACAATAACTTATTAGAGTCCGTTCTTTTCTTCTACCATGTGGGCTCCAGGGATTGAACTCAGATGGTCAGGCTCTAAGTGCCTTTACCCATTTCAATCTATTTCAAGAATAAATTAGCTTGTAATCTAGGCCTGGATGCATAAGATCGGAAGAATGCATGAGTTTGAGGCTAGCCTAGGCTACATAGTAAGCAATAGACCATCTTGAGCTATGGAGTGAGACTCTGTCTCAAAGCTGGGTGGTGGTGGTACACAACTTTAATTCCAAAATTCGGGAGGCAGAGGCAGGGGGATTATCTGTGTTCCAGGACAGCCTGGTCTGCACAGTGAGTTCGAGGACAGTCAGGGCTATACACACAAGAAAAAAAAACCTATCTCAAAACCAAAACACAACCAACAATAACAACGAAATCCAAATATGGTAGCTCATGCCAGTAATCCCAGAACTGAGGAGGCTGAGGCAGGAGGACTGCTCTGAATTTCAAAAAACTTGAGCTACAGAAATCTTTTCTCAATAAAAAAGTGAGAGAGAAAAAAAAAGAACATACAAAGTTACCAATCTAAACTAATAACATTTTTCTTTCAGTTGACTAGACCAAAGACAGTGCTTTTTCCATCAAAAGAAAATGTTCTAAAATTTAATACATTAGGAAGAAAACAGTGACGACCATAGGCCATGGCAGCACGGGGGTGGGGTGACGGTGGGGGTAGGACACTCAGGCCTAGGGCAGTAGCGGATCCAAGGGAAACATCACTAGGTGAGGTCACACTTGAAAAAATTCAAAAAGCTTTTACTGTACTATATTACTCTAATCTGAAAAGAACACTCACTGATGGCGCCAGACTCTAATTTGGTAGGTAAGGGCAAATGGAAATAACACACACTGCTACAAGGAAAGTAAAACTCCCCAAAGTTACCTACCTGTGTGGTGCTCTACAGAGAAAGGGCAATGTTACTAGGCACTTTCTGACAATCGGCTCCTTGCCTAGAGTCCAGAAAGCCCTGGCAGTAACTGATCCTAGAGTGGCTGCAGGTGCTATCTGATTCATGGTAGTAGCTGATTTTTACCACAGTTCTCATAACATCATGAGTACTTCAGAACCAGGAGCTTCCTGCTTTGAGAAAATAATGGAAGTCTTCTGACATATTTCCAGTCTCCCAAAGTAAGTTGAATAGGAACATCAGGTAAGAAAAATGCTCTCTGTAACACAGAAGGCTCATTTAATTATGTTTACACAATAGTTTTAAATAAGAAAGCAAAACTTACCTGTCAACTTCACTGCTGGTTGGCCGAGCTACCTTGGTTCCTGAAGACCCTAAAGTGTAACTTTCCTGTCCTATAGAACCATGGCCTGTGGTGTCAATCACCATGGCCGTGACTTCTTCTGCACTACTTCCATCTTCTCCAGAAGGCTGATTCTCGGGCCCAAGCCACTCTTCCAGATTTTCAGTTTTGATGTGCACTGCTCCAAGAACCCTAACTTCATCACCGCTCCGCGCCCCTTGGTCTGCTATTCCTGTTTCCACATACCACTGCCCTGCTCTGTTGATTCGAAGAATGGGCTCCCGGCTCTCTACATCAGAACTCTGCTCAATTATCTGAGGACTGGTGGACTCCTCAGGGGGACTGAGCTCTCTGATATCCAGCACAGCACTGACCTGTCCTCTCCAGTTTCCCTTTGCAGCATTATGTCGTGGGCTAAGTGAGCGGTTTAGAGGTGGTGTAACCCTGTGAGACTCTGGAGGTCTCTCTGAGTGCTTTGTCCTTGTTTGACTTAATTCTGCTTCCACCTCAGCCACATTAATTTTGAAATGAATGCCCTCTAGGATCTGTGTACATTTGTCTATAATATGCTGCATCTGCAGAAAACTAGCAGCTGTTAGGTAGCTGATAATATCTGCTAGTTGCAGGCATATCCGTCCTGTGTAACAGAAAGAAAGGAGCTGTTCAAAAACAGTAGGGTTCTTGATGACAGAAATGGACACAGTACTCATTTCATTCAAGGACATGTGATCCCGGAAATAAGGAGAGCTGGCAGCCAGAACTACTTTGTGAGCCCGAAAAGCTTGTCCTTGCACATTGACCACGATATCACAGAGACGGCCTTGCATTCGCAGCTGGTTGAGATGGCTCAGAACAGAGTTGCTGAAGTCGGGGATCTCCAATTGTATGTTCCCACTTTTCTCCATGGTCATGCCTGGAAGTACAGGCAGACATTCAACCCTGCTGAGAGAGCAAACCATATTCTTAGCACCATCTTTATTCCCTTTGTGCTTTCTAGTTTAAACATCCCTAAAAATGTAAAATCTCCTGGCCAGGAGTGCCAGGTACACATATATAATTTTAACACTGGTGCACTGAGGCAGGAGAATCTTGAGTCTTGGCTACATAAATGAAAACTTGTCTCAGAAGAAAAACTGAAATCGCCATGTATGAAGAGGTGCCTTCCTCACGATGCCTGGACGCAGTAATAGGAATTGCCAGCAGGTGTTTTATTTTGTTAGAAACAAGGTCTCATTCTAAGGCAGCCCTCAAGCTTGTGGTGACTCTCCTGATCCCACCTCCGGTGCTAGCGTTAGCGTGAGCTGCTAAGCCTCGCAAGAGGTGTTTTAGACTTCACAGTAAAACACAATCAAAACAACAACAAAAAGTGATTGCTAGACTGCTAAAAACATAAGCTACAACCAGACTTTATTAATAAGCTATATAACGTCAAGAAAGGAGTTTATCAAGGAGGGCTATCAAACAGAAGAATTTCAGACTGAATACAAAAATTCATTAGTTTTTTTCTAGAGAAAATAAATTTTAAAATACATGTAATTATATGCAGGTTGATTATGATTTACATGTGGCACAGGCTGTTTAAGGGACTAATTTCCTATGTGAATGGTCAGTATTATCACTTTTTTTTTTTTTCAAGACAGGGTTTCTCTATATAGCTAGCCCCTGCTGTCCTGGAACCTGCTCTGCATATGGAACTCAGAGACCTAGTGCCTCCGCCTCCCGAGTGCTGGGACTAAGACACCACAGCTGGCATTTATTTGAGACGGGCTATTCCTGGAAACTCACTATGTAGATAGATCAGGCTGCTCTCTAAATCAGAGATCTGACTGCCTCTGCGGAGATTAAAAGTGTGCCGCCCCCATGCCCGGCTAGGCAAAAACTAGGTAAATCTTTCTTTATCCAACAAACTTGAGGTTGGGAATTTCAAAGTGGTACTATTACTTAAATTCATGAACTTGGTTTTCCACAGCTGGCGAGAATAAAGCCTAAATTTTACACTGACAGCCTGCAACTGCATCAAACGGTCTGTTAGTTGAGGGTAGCTCGGGGATATCACAATGATTTTGGCTCGCTGTGCATCCAATCTGCCTCTAAATTTCTGAGACTGCACAACACACCAGGAAGTGGTCCTAACAGACTCACATTATCACCCCACATTGACAACACAATGAGTAAAACAGGGAAGTGCAAACACCGCTTTCAAGAAGCAACTTTAGCCAATCTGACCTTTTTCCAAAGCGTTATTGTTTGTTTTGAAACTTTTAATCCATTAAGAGCCTCTGTCGATGCCATCACGAATTCAGATGTTTATTTTGGAGCCTACACCAGCGCCTTTTTGTTTGCTCTTTCCAGCAATTCCCCAGTGAGGAAGAAGCCCCTGGAGTAAAGTCTTTCTCTAGCGTCGGCCCTGGAGGGGCGAGAGCTGTAAAAGGGAGAATCGGGAACGCTTGGGGTTGGCCAGTCAGGTACGGGAGCGGCTTCCGTGTGTGTCAAGGGAGCACGGGAAAAGGGAGACCTGGCTAAGCGGGGAGATGGCACAGAACCCGGGAAAAGAGAGCAGAAGGAGCGAGCGGAGGAGCGGGCGCTCAGGTGAGGCGCTGGAGGGGGAAGGGGGCGGCGCCCCGGGACCCGGTGCAGGGCGGCGGAGGCGGCCGCGGTGGGGGTGTGTCTGGGTGTGTCCCCGCCGCGGGGTCCTGAGGGAGGGGCTGGCAGGGGGCGGGCCCGCGAGCTCAGCAGCCCCGAGCCAGGGAGTGTGTGTGTGAGTGTGTGGGGGGGGAGGGAAGGTCGCCGAGTGCCGGGGGTGGGGAGGGTGGGGCGGGGCAGCCGAACGCTCCGGGAGCGGGCTGCAGCCGAGACGCGGCCGAGGAGCGTCCGGTGTAGGCTAACGGGGGTGCGGAGCCCGAGCCCAGTCAAGGAGCAGCACCTACCTCCGGGGGTGGAAATGGGCCGGAATGGGCCGGAACACCGTCCCGGAAGTGAAACCCCCGCCCCCCCCTCCTCCGGAGCGGGCGGCGTGCCGGAAGGAAATCAGTCACCCTCACGCCGCCCCTCCCCCAGCGCTTTCCGGACCGGAGCCCCCTCCCCTCAACCCTGACTCCAAAGGGAGGCAGGGGCCGGGCTGACGTGATCGCGGGGACTCCGCCCACGGGCCTTGTAGGGCGGGGCCAGCGGGAGGACTGGAGGGCGGGAAGGAGGTGGGGCTTGAGGAGGAGTCTGAGGGACTTCTGTGGAAGCACGCTGCGGACGGCCGTGCGTCGTGACGTCACGGAGAGCTTAAATACTGGACTCAGCCGCCATATCGGTCTTTCGGAGCTCGGAGTTAACTTGCTGCAGGTACTGTTTACTGTGTTCATGTGTGATGTCTGCACAGGCCTGTGTATTGCGGTTGGGACCACCGCAAATTGGCGGGATTTGGCGGACAGTAATGCCCTTGTAAGCTTCTAAAGCTGAAGGGAATTTGGCTTTGCGTGCATGTGCGAACCAAAATGGTACTTTGAGCTTTTTTTAATTTGCTCTTTTACGGAAAGTCTCCATAGAAGACTTGGCATCTGTGTTCTCGCTGTGATGAAGGCTATGTTGGTAGGGACAACTGACCTTGTTGATGAATACCAACAACTCTGATGGCGGACCATGCTGAGTCATCTCACGAGGCCTTTTGTAGTGACTTTATTGTGGTTAAGGAACGCACTGCAATGCTATCTTACTGTAAAAATCACAAGGTTAAAGGCTTTAGCGAACAACTGGCTCAAAGTGGGATTTTGTGAGAGACCATTTACAAAGCCGCTAGCGCAGTCTTAGGCAAGGTATACGTTAGAAATTTAAGGAAATACTGAAAGATGTATTCCCACAGTAACACTAGTCTGTGAACTTTAATTCTTTTTCTTGTGTGTAAAATTGGTGTAATTAGACATGTCTAAACTAGCATGTTTTCTTTAGGTATGTTGCCGTGTACCGTATCTCTGGGACCGTTGGCATCATACAGACAGGTAAGAATTAAGTAAAATAAGGGGAATATCTTAAAACACTATCAACCCAAAAGCCCATGATGGTATGAGAGTAGTGGACAGAAGGGATTTCTGAAAAACAATGTTCTGAGGCTTTAATTCGGAGAAAGGGAAGGGAAGGAAAAATGCTGGAAAGAGATCTTAATATTACCATCTTTTTTTCCCAGATCTTTGGCAAAGTGGGATGAACAGTGAGGTAAGTACTGAATTGGGCCCTGGTGAGTCCTTCCAGGGAACAGTGCCACAATGATGACATTATATTTGCTACTCTTGACAGTGGGATGACGATAGCTTTAAACCACCGAGATTGTAACTGAGGCATACAGGGTCATGACTAAGGGGTTTCTGACAGACTGCACAGATTTTTACATTAGTCTGTTTCCCTTCCAGGAACTGAAAGAAGTTGGATTAGCCATGGGTGTGCAGAGTAAGAAAAGCTTTATTTTCTTTATGTCCAATTGAAAGACATTTGTTAGCACAAAGGAAAGGTTGGCAAATACAGGGAGCTTAACTGTAGCTTGGACTGACTTTGAACTAGCTCCTAATTCACAGATCTGCCTGCCTCTTAGTGTTGGTTAAAGGTCTAGACCTCAGCAAGCTCAATCCTCAATTATAATTGTTCAGTTAAACATTCTCATTAGCTAATGCTTCCGAAAGACTGCCGCCACCAACAGGGTTGCTTTCACCTTATTAGGTGCTGTGAAGTCAATCTTTACTGCTCGCTAGCTGCCCTGGGTGTGGGATGAAGACAATCCTGGAACTAGATCTATAGACCAGGATGGCCTTGAATTTAGCTCCCTGTCTACACCTGAGTGCTGGGATTAAAGGCCTGTGCCACTCCCACCTGAGTAGAAACTGGGAGGTTCCCCCCAAGCTAACAGCTGATGCAGATACAATTTTATGGAGTACTTATAGAGATACCTGAAGCCAAGTAGGCCATTGCCGTTGCTTGTCCGAGGAGGTTTGAGTTAGCTCGACATTGCTATTCGTGCAATGTCAGAATGGTGTGGGAAGCTCCATTTGGAGGGCTCTGGGCCTTACAAAGTGCCCAGTCATGTAGTAACTTTAATTAACTGCACAAGGAAGGCAGGATGGTCGTGAGTTCAGGCCAGCCTAGCTTACAAAGTGAATTTCAGTATGAGCAGAGCTGTTAAAACATCCCATCGTGGTGGTGCATAGTTGCAGAATAAATCAAATTTACCATTTTGTGTCAGTTTTCTGGTGATTGTACTGACCTAGATTTCTTTTTGCCTCTTAAATTGTAGGTGCTATAATGGAAAAACAAGATGAAATGCGAGAAGTGTTGGAGATGGCAGATAAATGGGCAAACATGGCCTGGTATGGTTGCATACTTTAAATGTTGCTTGCTATGTGTTAGGTGTCTCCTTTGTGTGAACTCAGCCTGCATGATGACAAGCAAATGCTGACTAACATGAAGGTCTTAATTAGCTCTATCTGATAACGGGCTTAGTTAGCATTTCACACTAGTAATTCTGCTTTTGACCATACTAAAATTGATTTTTTTTTCTTCCTAGGTGATGGAATTACTTGGACAACTTTGAAAGTAAGTATTGGGAAACAGTGACTATACTGATTTAAAGGGGCATGCAAAGATTGTGTAGATCCAGACAGCAACATTTACTGTCTTGTGGATGTTTGCTGTGCTCTAATCAGGGTTTCTGTAATGATGTTGATCAAATGTCTGACCTGAAAAAAAACCTGTAGAGAAATCTTAACACTGAAGAACCCTGGCATAAGCAATTAAGGATAATTAAATAATGCTTAACATATCTATGAGAAGTTTTCCCTTTTAATTCTAGCTACTGGTTGCATGTTTTCATTTGGATGGCTTGCTTGGGTAAGAAGCCAGTTTCTTGACTCTTGTGCTAATGAGGGTTGTGTACAGTATTTAAACAGTAAATTTGAACATGCATGGGTTTTTTAAAATGTATACAATAGTCTGTCTACACATGTATGCCTGCAGGCTAGAAGAGGGCACCAGACCTCATTACAGATGGTTGTGAGCCACCATGTGGTTGCTGGGAATTGAACTCAGTACCTTTGGAAGAGCAGGCAATGCTCTTAACCAATGAGCCATCTCTCCAGCCCCATGCGTGTGTTTCTTCAGTACCATAATGTTGCCTTAATTTTTTCAGCTCCAACTTGGCCTTTTAAAAGAATGTATTTTCTTAGGTATGAATCCTCTGCCTACATACTAGAAGAGTGCATTGGAGAAGCAGTCTTTGCTCTTCTAAGTTCACCTTTTAAATGAAGGTAAGGAATATTTTTTGTAGACTACTTAGAAATACAATACTACTGTTAGTGATGTATAAAGTTAAACAGATGGGAATCTCTCTGAATAAGATTGAAGACTGATTCTTATGCTGAAACAGTACTGAGGAATTTGTTAAGTAAGTGTACGTTGTGAATGTCTTAATAAACGGGGTTGAATTTCTACAGGTGTCTTGCATGGCTCTCCTTGACTGAAGGCTCCAGGAAGCTTTTACATGAAGGTAAGTGTCCATTGCTCATGAAACATACATGACGTGAGTTTTTTAAAAAGAACTGTTCTTTGCTCATGAAACATACATGACGTGAGTTTTTTAAAAAGAACTGTTCTAAATGAAAGCCGATACTGTGATGATAACATAGTTCAGCAGACATAACCTGATGAACAATCCTATGTCTTTCGCTCCTATCTGATGTATCTGGCTGTAATGTTTGAAGGAATATTTTTGTGAAATTTGCAATATTTTAGCACACAGTAGAAGTGTGGTTTGTGGTTTTAAGGCTGAAGGACAATGACAAGCACATGGAACCTTGGTGTGGGCTTTGGTCTCAATCCCAGATCTCATAAAGGTTGTCAAGGCTTTTTAATTGCCAGTTTTCTAAGCATGGTGGCAAAATCTCAAACATAAAATGCTGGCAAGAGGATTGAGAGCTAATCTAAACACTGTTCAAACTCAATACCTAAAGAATAGTAAAATGTTCTGAATGGCTCAAGTTTCTGGGCTAAAATTTTTTTCTTGTCTTCAAACAGATCCTTCATTTTGAATTTCAAGGTAAGTCACCTTGGATTTTTACAGATTATAATTGCCTGTAACCAGTGATGTGATGATTCTGCCAAATGATAAAAAGTGATATCAACTTTAAAACCGTTCCATTTTATTTCTGAGGTTACTATAGTAATGTGTAGCCTACAGGTTGTCTAAACCAGAGAAATGAGGTTTTGTTTTTTTTTAATAGGGCTCTTATGGCAGAAGTGGACAGATTGGCAATTTCACCTCACTATTTAAAAGGTGAGAAATGAAGATGTTAACCACGAATCTACTACAGAATATGTGATGATCTCACCACAACTTGAACTCTCTCACTGATTACTTGATGACTGTAAAGGATCTGATATTCTGTCTTAACAATTACCATTTAAATGGAAATATGGAGATGTGCCTAACAGGTACCTCTGTTGCAGGTGACTGGATGGAGACTCAGAAGATTATTCCTCAGGCTGTTTCCCATCATAGTTAACTTCAAAAAGTTAATCAATAAACTGAATGGAATTAAATACAAAGTGTGTGTTTGGTTCTCTAACAGGAACAAGTAGAGAAGATTGTTCAGGCATGGGTTTATGTCTACATGTGTTCCTAAGCCTTTCTCAGGATGAGCTTTTAAAGCAAGCACATGACTCATAGCTTCAGTTTAAAAAAGGGGAAGTTTCCTAAACTATGGGCCTTGATTAGGTCTTTGGTATATTGGCAGGTAGTGGTGCCTGCTTGAGTTAATAGCACTGAAAAGGTCTGGGTTCTGTTGATAGCAACTAGAAAAAGGTGTGAGGGCTGCAGGCAAACTAGTTATTGGAAGCATTTGGGCTGCACAGCTGGGAATGAAACCAGAGGATTGATTGGTTTGAAAAGAGTAGAGGTGAACGTCTGCGCTTAACCCTCCTGGCCTGTGGGTTCTCAGGAGTTGGAAAAAGCAATAAGTGTGGGGGGAGAGGTAGGTAGATCTGCCGAGATGGTGTGTAGGTTGCAGCATATATGGTCTGCTGTCCGACTGGGAACAATATGTGGATGGTTTTGTTACAATCAGCCTGCTAGCTTGCCCTGGCTTGAGATGGAGTCCCTCCTTGAGTTGACTTCATAGAGCAAAGAGGAAGTCCAATCCACCAGAGATGGGGTGGGTAACTCCCCAGTTGCTCCAATAGACTGACCCTGCTTCGGGGATCTCCATGTCCCTTCAGTACTAGGATTAATGATTTGCCCCATCCATCACACTTGCCTCACCAAAGCTGAACTACATCACTGATTAGCAATATTCCAGGCCAACTCCATATTTTTAGATTCTCATGTGTTAGGTTTGCATGTGGATGGAGGACCAGTCATTTTTTCACCATGTAATTTTAAATGGGCAAAAGTTAGTTCTCCAGATTTGAAGGCAACCACCCTTATCCAGGGTGCCATCTTGCTTGACAGATCTCTTTGGAAATGGACTCATTGTATTGCCTTAGCCTTGGATTCCCAGTGTAGATCAGGCTGTGTTCTGTAAGAAATGGTCCTCCATTTCTTACAGAACACAGAATGTGACCTTTCCTACAGGGAAGTGTTGCATCCCAGTATTGTTTTAGCCTGTTAAATTTATAGGAACAGGGCTGGAGAGATGGCTCAGTGGTTAAGAGCATTGCCTGCTCTTCCAAAGGTTCTGAGTTCAATTCCCAGCAACCACATGGTGGCTCACAACCATCTTTAATGTCTGGTGCCCTCTTCTGGCCTACAGACAAACACACAGAATATTGTATACATAATAAAGAAATAAATATTTAAAAAAAATTATAGGAACAAAAAGATGGACTAGTTGCCAAATAGGTGCTCATTTTCTTTAGTCCTTCCATCTCAACATCTTGAGCACTGTATAACAGGATGATGCTGGTGATTGAACTAAAAGTTGGGTTCTATACAAGTGCTTTACCACTGAGCTGCTCTGGTGGTTTGAATAAGTGGCCCCAATAAGCTGAATGCTTAGCAGGGAGAATCATTTTTTAAAAAAGTAATAAGGGTTAAGGGGTGTGGCCTTGTGCATTTCCAGCCCTGCTTTACAGTATTCCAAGTCATTTCTCAACTGATTCTGGCAACATGGATTCTGTAAAATAGCCAGGACAAGTGTCATTAACATAAAAGTGACAAAGGCTAAGAATTTAACTTGCTGAAGGTGTAGTACTGTATAGAATTTTGAGATTTTCCCCCCAATTCTATTGTGCTTACTTCGCAGTATATTATACTGATGTCTAAAAGGTTACCACAAAGCTCAATTTATATGGTTCTAGTGAGGCTAGATGAATTTAAGCCCTCTCACATCATTTGGTAGTCTACAGAGGCAAATACTCTGTATGACTGACCTAAATAACCTATATGGGTTTTGTAAAACACGAAGACTTGCCGGGGTGGTGGTGGCATACAGAACTTGTGAGGCAGGCATGAGTTTGAGGACAGCCTAGACTACAGAGCAAGTTCCTGGACAGATTTCAAAGCTACACAAACTGTCTCAAAAACAAAACAAAAATTCCAATATGTTTTCTGTTTTGTTTTTACAATGCTTCAATTAAAACTTCCACAAAAGTCACAACCACAGAAAGTCCTAATGGTACATGTTACCAAATCACAATTGGGTAGCTTCTGTTTGTTATGAAGCAGTGATGACTGCTTCCACTCCATTCCGGAACTAAGAAGACAAAACTTAAGAGCTCAAGTTTTTGGAAGGTGTGGCTGCTGCATTCTCCTCTTCTGAGTCTGCTGGCCATGTGACTTGGATGTGGTAGGGCTTCAGTTCTTCAGGAGGCACAGAATCTGGAGCACTGCTCATGAGGTCATGTCCTCGATAGGATTTGGGGAAGGCTATGACATCTCTGATGCTTGGGGCTCCAGTGACAAGACACAGCAGTCTGTCTAGCCCTGCGATATAAAATACAAAGTTAACAGACGAGAAATGCACAGAACTTAACTTTTGGAAGGAACCTGGTATTTTCTACTGTCCTTTTTGGAGATGAGGTTTTACTATATAGCCCTGGCTGTCTTGGACTTGCTGGTTGTCCAGGCCGACCCTGAACTCACAGAAATCTGCCTACTCCTGCCTTCAAAGTGCTGGGATTTAAGGCGTGTGCCACCAATGCCTGGCTCAGTGTTCTTTCCTTAAAAGATGTAGAGAGCTTTTTTTTTTTTTTTCTTAACCTGGCTTCATGCATTCTAGACAAGTACTCTACCGCTGAGTTGTGAAAACCTCAGGCCTGTAGAGAACGTGTATTTCATTTTTTGTTTTGTTTTTGAGAAAGGATTTCATTCTTTGTGTGTAGGGGCAAGACAAGGTTTCTTTGTCTAACAATCCTGACCTTCCTGGAACTCACACTCCCTCTGTAGAGCAGGCTGGCCTCGAACTCACACATCTGATACGTGTGTGTGTGTGTGTGTGTGTGTGTGTGTGTGTATGCGCCACCAGGATTTCACGTACTCTAGGCTAGCCTGGAGCTCTCATATTTTTACTATTTTTATTGTGTTATTTGTGCACATGAATGCAGGTGCCCACTGAGGCCAGAGGGGTCCAATCCCCGTTCCCTAACACTGGAATTCTATGGAATTGTGAGCTGTCTGATGTGGGTGTTGGAATTAAAATTCAGGCTGTATCCGGTGCACATAAAAAAGCAGACTGGCAGTATGCACAGACTCAAGCCTGACGGGGGTCCCAGTGGTGAGAGGGAAGTGGACATGAGCTCCCCTCACCCCTAACTAAGAAACTAGCTCTAATCAACTTGAGCTTCCCATCCTTAATCAAGAAACCATCTCCAATCAACTTGTAAAGGAAACTTAGTTATCTCGAATTGAATCCCAGCGGGTCTATTCAATGGCAAGCCCCATGCCCAGCAGTAGATGGTAAACACAAAAGGAACCTAGTGATAATTTTATAGAATTTTTATAGACTTTTTGTCTTATTGCTCTGTTCAGATATTCTTTATCTTTCTGGTCTTTTGTTTGTATGTTATCGTTTCTGATTTTGTGTTTTTATGTTTGTTTGGTTTCTGTGTATGTTTACTGATGTTTCTTTTTGTTTTGTTTGCCTGTTCTCTCTTTGTGTGTGTGTGTGTGGGGGGGGTGTTTTGAGACACTGCCTGGCCTGTTATGTTTCTAAAAAGAGGGAGGAAGGAAGAGGCCAGGTGGTAGTGCTGCAGCCCATCACTCAGGAGGCAGAGGCAGGTGGATCTCTGAGTCCTGAAACTAACCTGCTCTACATGATTTTCAGGGCTACAGAGAGAAACCAAAGAAAGAAAGAAAGGTAGGTGGAGATCTGGGAGGAGCTGGGGGACAGAAAGTTGTGATCAGAATATTTTTTTGTTTGTTTTGTTTTTTTGTTTTTTTTGAGACAGCGTTTCTCTGTAGCTTTAGAGCCTATCCTGGAACTAGCTCTTGTAGATCAGGCTGGCCTTGAACTCACAGAGATCTGCCTGCCTCTGCCTCCGAGTGCTGGGATTAAAAGTGTGCACCACCACCACCTGACTCAAAATATATTTATTGTATAAATTATTTCTTTTTTTAAATTATTTTTAAATGATATGTTTATATTTTACGTGCATCATTGTTCTGCCTTCATGTATATTGTGTGAGGTGTCATTTCCCCTGGAGTTGGAGTTACAGACCGTTCATGTATATTTGGGTGAGGTGTCATTTCCCCTGGAGTTGGAGTTATAGACCGTTGCGAGCTGCCGTGTGGGTACTGGGTATTGAACCTGGGTCTTCATTGCAGTCAAAAGAATAAAATATGATGAACAATGCCTTGGGGAACTGTGTGAGAGACCAGGAAAAAAAGGCAGAGGGCTTTTCACCTCAGGTGCAGTTTGTTCCCTGGATTGTTCTAAGTTGTAATTTTGTGCCTCCTGTAACAAATACTGGCATTAAATTTTAAGGCATGTTTATTCTCGCTGGATATCAGAATATAGCTATAGACCCTAAGCTGGTGAAAGGACATGCTGAGTACTATCCTCAGTGTACTCTCAATCTGGATATGGCCGCCTGCCTCGCTTTCATGCTTTTCCATATAATCTACATGTCAGGCAACTGTGCTTTCTCTGTCCTGAGAAAGTTCTGGGAAAGGGATGCTCTGTTAATAGTATGTGCTTACTGGTGCTTATTTAAATGTTTTTCTGAACCCAAACAACCTTCCTTGGATCACTGCTTTATTTCATTAGTGGATAAAGCACACTGAAACCAAAGTAAAATTGTCTACAGCATTAGACTGTTGTTTACCCATTCTTTAAGGACCTCAAATCCCAGGTCTCACAGACAGATCTGGACAGGTCAACAAAAAGTTGACACTAGCCCCCAATTTTTTTCTCCAATTAAAAGGAAAAAACCCAAAACCAAAAAACAAATTCAAGTCCTCTTTGACAGTAGCAGGTACTTTTTTGTTGTTGTGTTGTTTTTAAGGGTGTGGGGGGGGGAGGGGGAATTGTCACACTGTAGACTTTGTTGACCTGGAACTTGCTATGGTGACCAAGCTGGCTTTGAATTCACAGAAATCTGCCTG